CCGCCGCAACAAGCGATTTTGGGTACCCTCTCGCGTTTATCCCTCCATCCGGCCTGCCACCATTGTCACCATCGCCGCCGGCCGCACCGCCACCATCGCCGCCGCCGTCAGCGCCGCCGCCAGCACCACCACCTCCATCACCGCCGCCCCCGTCGGGGCTGCCACCGCTCTCTCCCTCGCCACCAGCCGCACCGCCGCCCTCGCCGCCCCCATCGCCACCGCCACCCTCACCGCCGCCGCCTAGTTCGCCACCACCATCAAGCCCCCCTCCTTCTTCACCGTCGCCTTCGCCCCCCCCACCCTCGCCTCCGCCCTCTCCGCCGCCACCCTTGCCGCCGCCGCCCTCACCGCCACCACCATCCGGCTTGCCGCCGCTATCGCCATCACCGCCGGCCGCGCCGCCGCCGTCGCCGCCGCCCTCGCCGCCACCACCCACTCCGCCGCCGCCCTCGCCGCCGCCTCCATCGGGCCTGCCGCCGCTCTCGCCCTCGCCACCAGCCGCCCCTCCACCGTCCCCGCCGCCACCCTCCCCGCCACCCTCGCCGCCACCATCTCCACCACCGTCGCCTCCGCCACCGTCGCCACCTCCGCCGTCGCCTCCCCCACCTTCTGGGCTGCCGCCGCTTTCACCATCGCCACCCGCCGCGCCTCCACCGTTGCCGCCACCACCGTCGCCGCCACCACCAATTACACCCTCACCTTCGCCACCACCACCAAACCCACCGCCACCTTCGCCACCACCATCCCAACCGCCTTCTCCGCCACCTCCAGCGCCGCCGCCACCCTCGCCACCGCCGCCGTCTGGCCTGCCACCGCTCTCGCCCTCGCCGCCGGCCGCGCCACCACCGTCGCCGCCGCCGTCGCCACCGCCTCCAGTGCCGCCGCCACCCTCGCCGCCGCCCCCATCGGGCCTGCCGCCGCTCTCGCCCTCGCCGCCGGCCGCGCCGCCGCCGTCACCGCCGCCGCCAGCACCGCCCCCACCGTCGCCGCCGCCTCCATCAGGGCTGCCGCCGCTCTCGCCCTCGCCGCCGGCAGCGCCACCGCCCTCGCCGCCGCCACCAGCGCCGCCACCGCCCTCGCCGCCGCCTCCGTCGGGTCTGCCACCGCTCTCGCCCTCGCCCCCGGCCGCGCCCCCGCCCTCGCCGCCGCCGATCTCGCCGCCACCTTCACCACCGCCGCCCTCGCCCCCGCCTCCGTCGGGACTTGCCGCCGCTCTCGCCCTCGCCACCAGCCGCCCCTCCACCATCGCCGCCGCCGCCCTCCCCGCCGCCCTCGCCACCGCCGCCAGCCCCGCCGCCACCCTCGCCACCGCCCCCATCCGGATTGCCGCCTCTCTCGCCCTCACCGCCGGCCGCGCCACCGCCCTCGCCGCCGCCACCAGCGCCGCCCCCGCCATCGCCACCGCCCCCGTCGGGCTTGCCGCCGCTCTCGCCCTCGCCGCCGGCCGCGCCACCGC